GCTCCCGCGGCTCGGGCTCCCTTGCTGCAGTGCAGGCTGGCGCTCCACTCTGCTCCAACTTTCCATGCAGAAACTCGGCACGATGCAGGTAGCCAGATAAAACAGCACTTACCTTAATTGAAATCTTTTCCCTGGCAATGCTGGAGCATCAGTCCAATCAACAGCGATCGGGGAGAATCTAAGTTTCAATCAACACCCTCCGGGTAGCCGCATGCTGCTCTGCCTTTTTTTCAGTGAACTCCTCACTGTCTGGAGGAGAGAGAGAGAGAGAGATCAGCTGAAATCCTCAGAGGCTCGTGGAGAGTGAGAGAAGAGGCACCAAAGCAATGTTTCTTAACGGGAGATTCTCAGCCGGCGTGCTCAGGTCTGGAGGATCCTGTAAGTGCTGTGATAGGCTCCTGTCACGTCCCCTGAGCCGTGAGATGATCATTGACCTGATTAGCTCCGAACACTCCCTACACGCAGAGAAAGCGCTCAGAGGATTGGTGGGTCGCAGGGGAATTGGGAAAGGCACCAGGGCCGCTTGGGAATCTTCATTCTTCCAGACTAATGGATGTGCTGCAGCTGAGGCTGTAATTTGTGAGGAGGTTATGCACAATGTTAACCATCTGAGGACTTAAACAATTGTGCTTTTGCGTGCTGTTTCTCAAGGTACACCAGCATTCAACGCGGGGTAGAGCTGAGTGATTAGAGGCTGATGTAGCCATTTCGTAATACAAGTCTCACTGTGTGAGATGTTCTGTAAGCTGAGAGATAAAGTGGATCCATACATTTGTCTCTGACCCCGGAGACAATAGCAGTTAATGGGTAGAATAATGGAAATTAGTATGGTGGGCTCATGTTAGCCCCCAGATGGCAATCAGTCAGCATGGAAAGAAAAAGAAAAGAGCAACAAAACCCAAGCAGACTAGAATTATTTAACAAGTGCATGTGACAATTTAAATAAAATGTGGAGAAAGAATTTCAAATTAGTACAGAAAGGACTTCTCAACATGTAGATAAATCAGTAGAAAAGAACAACAATAGAGCAATGCAAGTTCTTTCCTCTCTTACAGCAGAGGGGAAAACCCAACAAGGAATGCATTTAAAGGATCTAATTTGCCTTTCACTTGCACTGAAACAAATAAATCTATTAAAGATGGCAGTTTAAATTTAGATCAGCATAAAAAAAAAGCAGAGTGAAAGAAGAATGAGGTGTATTCATTACTTGTTTTTGGTTCAAGGGTATTATGGAAACTAGACTTCAGTGTACCAAGTATTCAGGCTTGCATGGTCAAATGAGTCAAGTCAAAGTGTGTCAACTTTTATGACTGCTCTCATCTGCTGTTTCCCTGTGCTTGGACAGTCATTACGGCACTAGGCAATTGACTCCATTTTACATTCAGATTTATCTATGGAAATACCAGCTTGTGACTTAGAATAATTTTGTTCACAGAATAATATATTTAGTATTGATGATCTGGAGCACCAATATAAAATAGAAATCGATATTTTTATAGCAACTAATGAAGAAGATATAGAACCTATAATAGCAATGCTAGTTCATATGTAGTTACCATAAGTTACTCTATGAATGCTGAAATAAAGTTAGTCATAAACATATATATTGAAATTCTTAATCAAATTTATTTACTTTGGGTCTACTCATACATTTTTCTGGTAAATTTGTGTAATTGTGTTTTAGTAGGAAAGGCAGTAATGAAAGCAATTTTAAAGTTGTTAAGTGGCAGAGAAAATGGATTATATGTTTACTTTCTGAAGGCATTCACATCAGAAGGCTCATTATTACAGAGAAAAGAGTATCATGTGATTTAGATCACACAGAAGTAACCATGGAAGTTTGAATCACCAATTTATTTAGCAAGATGGAAAACAAAGATTTTTCACCCTGGCTTTAATGCCTAAGAAACAGGAAATAAATGTAAGTGGCCCATATTTCCATTAGACAATCAGAAGGAACATATAAATTTTTCTACCCTAGCAGTGTTAGCAATACAATTTTCAGGTTCCTCCTCTGGAAGTGCCACTCTCCACTGAAAAGTGCCTCAATGTGCAAAATCTGGATTATAAGATTGGCAATATTTTATATTCAGACAGCAAAGTTTTTAGAATGTAGGTTACTTTGTTTTTTGTAATTTCTTGAATGCCTATCACCCAGGGATTCATGCCTATCCTAGGACTAATGGTAAAAAAAGTAATAATTATTCTACTAATTAATCAAATAAGAAGGCTTTTATGCATGTTAATATGAAACATAAACACATTATTGAGTAAAGGGTTTTATGTGTCAGGACTAAGATTTCCTGTTACAACCCTCACTGAAAAAGAGGCTTTTCTCCTTACCTATACATTTGTACCAGTGAAAGGGTGGAAGTCATCCCAAAGCTTACAATCTTATCTGTTCTGACATGGCATCCCTCATGAAACATGGAATCCACAGACACATGTTGTATTATTAATGATTTTAAATACAATTAAAGAAATTAAATATGAAAAGGACCTTATTAAGACAATTTATTTGCCACTTCTGTAAGCTTCCAATTTCAGGATTCATGCTGCTTTGTTTAATTGAATCTTAGCTCTCACCAGCCCTAGAAATTTCAACACTTCTCTGTGTTGGACACTTCAACTGCTGTTCCAACCTATGAGATCTCCGTAACAGGAATTCTTTTCCATTTATTACTTTTCAAACATCTTTCAACAGTTTTATACTAAAAAATAAAATTAATATTCTAATAATTTAAATGGTAATCATTCACAATCAATGGTCTGATTGTCTTTTTAAGGCTTAAAGGTCAACATTCATCAGAAGTTCATTGTACAAAACTGAATTATTTTAATTGTTTCTCACCACAAGTAAAGGTCTGGGGAAAAAATAACAGCAGATCCAGAGAAGGGACTGAAGCATGAAGGAAAAAAACCTGAAGTGACAACATGATTTCAGTTTGTGCAGAAACAACTGGGACTTAATGTAGTCTTGGACTATTAGGTAAGACACTGGCATTTTAAATTTCGTGTTAACAAAAGAAAACAATAATTTGACTCACTCATGAATCTTGCTACAGTCTAAGTAACAGAAGTAAAGTCTGGCACCTTGGGTCCAATTCCCAATCCTAAATATAACTTAAAATTTTGAATTCAGTTCCTATGAGTCATCTTAATAAAGGGACAGAGGTTTTTCTGAAGAAGAAAAGTAATATGTTTTCAATAGGAAATTATACAGTGACATATAGAGATTAAAATATTAGGCACCCTTCTCAGCACATCATTCTTACAGAAAGGGGGCAGTATACTAAAGCAGTAAAAAATAAAATAAAATTCTATGTAATCTCTAATTAATCTTTTGAATTCACTGCTCCAAGCCATGATTATAGGAAAGAATCAATATGTATGTGTGAGAGTATTTTGAAATCATAACAGAATCTAAAATAATTACACAATAATACTTTCTCTGTTCAATATTATTCCTCAATGCAAAGCAAAAAACATTTTTTCATGGGCAAGACAGGTTACTAGTCACAGGGAAAAGAATCACTGTCCAACTAATGATGTAGCAGCAAAATTTAAAAGACTTTTACAGTATCATTGAATAAACCATAGTATTTTTACTGTCAAATGCCATTAGATATTTGTGCTTCCCTAAAAGATTTTTTTTAAGATGAATAGCGTATCTAAAAAAGCCATATTTCCAAACTTGGTAATTTGTTTAGACTGAATGCCAAAATAAAAGCAGAAAGCTGTACTAGTGTAAGTTTCTTAATATTCTTGTAAAGACCTTTGGTTCGCAGACAGAAACTACTTCAGCTCAATACCTTATCATGCATCAATGTAAAGTCAATACAGAACAAAAGGCCATAGAGAAACACTAAGAAAAGTGCTAATACAGTCACAACTTTCCTGCTGGCCCAAGTCCCACACAGAGTCTGTCATGTCAGCTCTGTTGATTCTCAGGAACAGAAAGGAGTAGAAGCAAACAGTGTCTATGTCCATGTCAACACACAGAATTATTCTTCTCCTACATTTAAAAAGATCCTTTAGTATGAATGAAGAAAAATGCTATACAGAATGAACTTAGAGTGTTGATTTTCTGCATAATTTCTTATTTTCTAAAAAGTAAATAACAAAAAAGAAAAATTGTCTGTTTCATTTTGGTTGGAAACACAGAAACTAGAAATAAGGTGTGTGAGTACTCTAGGAAAGCAGCAAATCCAGCAGAGTACATAGAAAAGATAAAATAAAACTATATTTATCCTTCATCTCTTCAGAGAAAAACATAAATAATGAACCACTTAAATACATTAAAAATGCTCTGCAGAAAAGTATTTGAGCTATTCAAACTTTCACAACCATATTTTCCCTATTTTGGCAACCAGTTTTACCCCACAGCCTCTATCGACAATGAGACTAGTTAACTCCCAATAATACTTTACTGCCATGCACTGTAGCTCTGAAATGTTACTTTCATCCTGATTAATTTCAAAAGTACCAGCAGAGCAAAGGCAACTCCAAGCTCTCATCTGGCCTATATCGGTACAGCTATATTGATCTAAGTGGAATTGTACAGCAGATTTATAAATCAGTGAGGTCTCGTGTAACAGCAATACAATTGGTCATCAATGAATACTACAGCAGGTTTCAAAGATCAGCCTTCCTAAAACATCATCCAATATTTTATTTTTTGATATGGATAATTTCTTTCCAAAATTCTTGGCCATAGTGAGTACAGACAACACGGGGAATTTCTCTGCAGCAAAGAGTTTAATCTTGAGCATTCAGGGCTTCAATTCAATATCTTATTCAAGAGGTTCTAGATGTTAAGGTAAAGATATGATGGAAGGAGACAGCTGAATCCTTGTCATACTCAGTGGAAAACTGCTGACTTCATCAGGCTTCCCCTTGTGGTACCTGAAAGGGCTCAGACAAACCCAAACTGCTTTGTGTCATCTGATAACTGTTCTCACTCCCAGTTTAGCAATAATTATCAGTACCACTCTTTTTACGTAGGCCATACTTCCAAAAACAAGGAAAGTAGCACAGCATGTTGCTTTAAGATACTTCTGATACTGTTAATGTAAAGTGCAGTTTGAATTTCATTGTTCACTTTTATTAAGCCAGCCTTGTTGGCTGAGACAAGTCAATGTTGGTGATCTCTGTTTCCTTTAAGACGTTCTCACAATGTTTGAGACATTTTGGAGGCATGGGTAACCCTAGATTTAAATAAAGGCCCACAAAACGACTAAACAAATGAAAGTTTTGGAGTATCCTAATACCATTGTGGAATGGTGCCAAAATAATAATGAGAGGGGAAAAGCAGGTGGTGGTTAAATACTCTGCAATTCAGTTCTGGGAAAAAAATTATGAACATTATGCTTTTTAAGAGTAGGGAACTTATAGGTAAAGAGGGTACATAGCCCTGTGATTGAAAAGAAATATGGAGGGATAATATTTTTAAGGATATATTCAGGTCTAGTAAAGAGAAAACGAATGTAGAAAGAAGATGTAAAATGGAAACAGGCCACCACTCTTTTGGAGTTTAACTACCATCTGAGAGAAATAAACTTTGTATCCCAGAGGAATGCCATTAATGTTCAAGAACCA